CTGCAAATGCATCCCTGCACAGAAGTCCTTTACACTTAAAATCACATCATTCCAGTCATCAGTGTCAGCTGCCCAGATGATGTTGTGTTTGCTCTCTCCCCGATCTGGGTCAGTAAACTCTTGCCTTCAGGCTCCCCAAAACCACGCTGCTTCCCCTCTGAAGGACTCTCTATGTCCAATACTCTCCTGTCTGGTCTAGGAGCTCAAGTGTGAATGTGCCAGCTGTAAATATTTCAAGAGAACCAAGGAGCAGGGACTGATCAACCTAAAAAGGTCCTTGCTTTATAGATCACCTTTCCATACAGTGCTGAGAGGGCTCGGCATCGGTGAAGCTGCTCTTGGTTCCTCTGCTGGAGGAGTTGGTGTGGTGGTTTCTACTCAGTGTATCCTCTCCCTGTTAAAATCTTAGAGGAGAGAGTTCTGGAGGTAGAGATGGATTTTCTGTATCTGATTTTTGTCCTTTGAGGAGCTGCAAATTCCTCTGAGTTTCACCTAAAAATCTAAGACAAATTGGGGCCTCTAAGCAGCTCCCTTATGCACAAAATTTCCTATGTACCAGAGCCATCTTCCTTCTGCCTCTTGCAGTTCCTGTAATGTGGATGTTTAATTCGCTTTGTCTGAACTCCTTGTTTTTAATATTCTCATTTGTTTCGTAGTTGGATGCGAGTGATTCGAGCTCCAGCAGCAACCTTTCGCTTGCCAAAGTTAGGCCAAGTAGCGATCTTAATAATAGCACTGGACAATCTCCTCATCACAAAGTTCAGAGAAGCATATCTTCCAGCCAGAAGCAGCGGCGGTACAGCGATCACGGTGAGCAGTCCTCAGTGCTGCAGAATGTAGTCATTAGATTCCATTTTTAGTTTGTCTCCATCCCCCAGAGGTAAGGAGGATGACACCGGTGTAGCTCCCAGCGTGGCAGTTAAATAATTTACTGAATAACTGATGTTTGGTTTGTTACAAAGCCTGCAAAAACTCTCTTACTCTGCTTCGTGTCGTCTGTGCATTCCTGACAACGTCTTGTTGTAGAGAATGCCACAACACCCTTTTTGGATGAAAAAAAGCCCAGCTCCCCCCTTTGCTCCCATATGTCTGCTCTGCTTTGGTTTGCCTTTGACACGAGTAGGTCAACCTGCGTCAAAAACGTGAAGAAACATCCTTCTGCCAGCGTTTCCTGAGGGTACTGTCGCTCAATTGTCCTGCAGGAATTCAGTTCCTAAAGATCAGGGACTGGGACAAACTTGACATTCTTCTGCTTAGTGAGTGTGCAAGATGGTGGCTTACGGTTTTCTGAATATCTTCATCTTCCTGCCCAGACATGAACTCATAAAAGAGTCTCTGTTTAGGTCCATTTTTAAATAATTCAAGTGCATTCAGAGGTTGCTTTCCCTGGGGAGTCTCCTGGGATGACAGCTACTGTGTTCTGTGATGCTTTTGTTGTATTTTTATATCTATATATAGATACATATAAAATATATATTTTATGTGTGTACGTATATAAAAATATGTATTTTTGTGTGTATATAAATATATTGATATATACATAAACACGTACATGCACACACACATATATAAATAATATATTCATTTATATGTATTTTTATGTGTATATACATACACTTCTGGATTAATTGTTCTAGGAGGGCTGCTGGTGGTCCTGGGTTATCACCAGGTCTGTGTCTCAGTAGCCCGACTTTATCCAAAATCACCTTGAACAGCGTGTGCCACCGTCTGGTTTGAGTGAGTCGGGGGCCTGTTAAGTGCCTTTAAGATGACTCTAAAGAGCTTTTAATTTTGATAATGTAAATTATCACCTTTTTGCATCTCTGATTCCCAGCGTTAACTGTGTCAATTCCCACGTGTGAATACATTTCTGTTGCAGTGAGAAGCAGCTACTGAATTTCAGAGAAGAAAAACCCATTTCCTGACTCTCTTCTTTGTGTTTTAAGCTGGACCATCCATCCCCTCGGTAGTGGCGTATCCCAAAAGGAGCCAGACCAGCACTACAGACACCGACCTCAAAGAGGAGGGAGTTCAGGCACGAAAATCCAGCAGCAGTGCCGTGGCAGGAAGAGGCATTGCCCCGGCCAGCCCAATGCTCGGAAACGCCAGCAACCCCAACAAAGCTGATATTCCTGAGCGTAAGAAAGGTTCGGCTGTTCCTAGTGTAAGTAGAAACACTTCTTTATCGAAGCCTTGAGCTGTTAAAGCTGTGATTTCTCAGGAGTGCTGATTTTACTTCTCATTCACCGAGAGTAGATGTAGATATCTCATATTTTTCCATTTCTTTTCTCTTGCATCAGTCACCTAGGCAAGTTACATCTTAATATTCCTGAAGTAGTTAGTAGGTATTAATAATTAGCACTGGTAACTATTAGAGAACACATAATTTAGGTATTAAAAATCATTTAAAGAAAGAAACCTGAACCCAAAGGCTGTCCCTTGAAATTCCACGTGAGTTAGATTATTTCTGATGTCACCAACTTCTGTGATCTCTTCTGTGTTATCTGTGCAGAAGAATAAAATCTCTGGTTTTATTATACGGGTTTTTGTAGTTTCGTGTGTGTAAGGAGCCAGCTGATCTTTGTTCTCAAGCTATTCCAAGTCCTAGTTGGTATATTAAGATTATCAAAGAAATGTAGCTCTAAAAACCATTTCAAGGTGTATTTAAACCCGTATTTAAGAGCAGTCTGCCTGGCTTTTGGCCTTGTGGGCTTCCCCCAGCTGCCCCTAAACCTCAGCAACAAAAAACCAGAGTCTTGTAACATTTAATGTCTAAAACTTTGGGATTTTGCATTGAAAAACTTCCTTGTTTTCAGAAGAAATAACTTCCCAGGCCTTTATTCAGCTTGCAATGGAGTGATTTTATGTTTTGGTCGTGTACTCAGCACCATCTCTTACAACAGAGGAGAGCAGAACTTCAGAGCTCGCAGCTTTTTGACCGTCTGAAGCAAAAGAAGTAAAATAAGATTTATTTTGCTTTATTGGCCAGTAACATGGAATTAGACTTATGATGGCACTCAATTAGCATTTAAAATTGTCTCTGTTTATAGCTCTCAGACTGTGCAAACTCTCTTTTTCCTGTTTTTTTTCCCTTTTCAAACACTTAAGTCCTAAAATGTGATGAGAAAATCACTGAAGAGACAGAAAAATACTGCTTAAAAGCCATTATTGCTTGGACAGAGCAGAACTGGTCCTCGCTGGAGAGCCTTAGCCAGTTTAGTGCTGCTTTATTAAATTACAAAGCCTACAAGCATGCACTTAAGGGTAAGTGCTTGTAGAGCGGACGCCTACGGCTGGGCTTGGAGTAAGGGGCTCCAAGCTGCACTTGTGAAGTTGATGGAGTGTTTAAACTCCTTTAAACTAAATAGTTCTGCACGCTGAACAAGTGCACATGAAAAAGCTCCAGGTTTCGTTGGGCAAATGCCAAATAAATAACAAAAACCTGCTGCAGGGTTGCATAGTTAGGAACTAATAACTGCTTGGTTTAATTGCTCCTTGTTTCTTACTCACAGCTTTGAGTTTTTCCTTAGTCCTTGTTGTCCCACAGCCCTTAGAGTAGCTTTAAGGAAAGTGGGAGAGGAGAGTAAGTGGTTTGAAGAACAGATTTGTAAAAATTACTAGTACTACTACTAATAAAGCTCATAAGCGAACAGATTGGTTCATTATTGTACGTCAGGGGTTGTCATTCCATCAGTCACAGAATCTCAGAGTAGCAGGAGTTGGCAGGGACCTGGAAAGCTCCCCCAGTGCAACCCCTGCCAGAGCAGGATCACCAGAGCAGTCACACAGGAACACGGCCAGGGCTTTGGGTGTCTGCACACAAGGAGACTCCACAACCTCTCTGGGCAGCCTGGGCCATGCTCCATAACCCTCACACTCACAAAGTTTGGCCTCATGTTCAGCTTGAACCTCCTGTGCTCCAGCTTGGGACCATTGCCCCTTGTGCTGGCATTGGCCATCCCAGAGCAGAGCCTGGCTCCTTCCTCCTGACACTGCCCTTTCCCAATGGATCCCCAGGAATGAGGGCACCCCTCAGGCTCCTCTGCTCCAAGCTCAAGAGCCCCAGCTCCCTCAGCCGCTCCTCAGCAGGAGATGCTCCACTCCCTGCAGCATCTCTGTGGCCCTGCTGGACTCTTTCAAGCAGTTCCTGTCCTTCTGGAGCTGAGGGCCCAGCACTGGACCCAAGATTGCAGCTGTGGTGTGAGCAGGGCAGAGCAGAGGGGCAGGAGAACCTCTCTGCCCTACAACCACCCCTTCTCATCCAGCCCAGGATGGCGTTGGCCTTCTTGGCTCAAGGACACATTGCTGGCTCATGGGCATTGCTGCCACCAACACCCCAGGTCCTGCTCGTGCTCCTCTCCTCAGTCCTCATGCTCTGTCTACTCTTGACACCAGTTTTGGGCTTCCCGTGCTGTCCCCCCATGCAGTGTGGTCACAGTCAGGGATTAATGGTCTGTAGGTTGGGTGAACAAAGAAGTCCATAACTAAAGAACTTCCTTGATGAACTGTGACAGGTCGTACGCTAAAATGTCTAAAGGCCCCGATACCAAGACTGTATTCTTGCTAAAACTGAAATTTGAAAGCTTGAAATGCTGCAATCTTGTCTCAGGACCTGTGAAATCTGAACAAAAAGGGGAAAAATTCTCTACTGATCCTTGCCGTTGCATTCCAGAGAGCTGGGAAAATGCATCTTTAGAGTCCTCTGATTTCAAATAGGAATACCACAACTTGTCCACTCCCAAATGGAAAAAATCATAGCCTTTAAAGTTTGATCCAGCACAGAGATTGCGGTCTTGCCTTTCTAGATGTGCAGCGTGACGGCACCTTTTAATGGGCTGTGGTGTCTTCTCCAGGGAAATAAACACATAGTGTTCAAAGGAGCAGGTGGAGAGAAGGAAACCACCCTTTGCTGTGCATATTTCCCACCAGAAAACCACTGATATTCTAGGTGCTTCATCCTTTAACGTGTGTAGGAATACAGAGCAAAATGATATGTGGATATGGGTAAACCTCAGTGTCCCAGGGGTTTGCACAGGGGAACTTCTCCAGAGACAAAACTTGACGTTGGGTGCACAGTTTCATTGGTAGCAACTTTAGTGAAGAGAGGGGACTTTGCACAATGACCAATATCAGAGGAAAGTAGAAGAATCAGTGTTTTTTAGCAAATCACCAGGTTTGAAGATAAGGGATGAATGAGGACTGAAGTACGAGGAAGGGACTTTGGCTGCTGCTTGGTGATTGCCTGTCCCCGAGGAGTGTGCAGTGAAGAACACTTGAGAGTCCTTGAGACGACTGCATGCATCTCATGGCTTAATTAATAGTTCTGCTCATCTGAAATACTCTTGATGCTCTGCAGTTTTTAACACCAGGAGGTTACGCAGTTTGCACTTCAGTTTTTATTGTACGTTCACATCGAGGGGTGTAAAAAGCCAGCAGTGTTTTAAGCAGAGGAGGTGGCTTCGCTGTTAAATCCGCAGAGATTGCACTGCTGAGACTCCAATATTTTACCTGAGGGCTCTGGAGGAGCTTCTGCTGCTTGTTGAGAACACTTCACTTTAACAGTTTTATTGCAGGTTCGGAAACAAACCAGGTTTGGCTTCTCTCCTTTTGTGCTTGAAAAGTTTTCCCTTTATTTTCTCTTTCTCCTCCTTCCCCTGATTCTCTGCTGTTGACCATTTAATGAAACCTTTTCTAATGCTGTTTTCAAACCCGCTGAATTTCCCTTGTAGCAGTAATTCCTCCAAGAGCTGCAGAAGGTCAGTTGAGCATGAGCCCCTGCCTGATTTTAGTGGCATCCTGTGCTGATCCAGGCGCTGACCACTCGTTCCCTCCAGCCGCCTCCTCCACGACTTCCCCAGCAGTGACATTTCAACTTACTGATGTTTTAATTTAAACAGCCTCTTCTGCTTCCCGCTTTGCCCCGTGATCCTTTTCTTTAATGACAATTTTTAGAGGTGTTTTTTCCCCCACTTTCCAACCCGTGTTAACGTTCTTGGGGTGGGCAGAAAAATACAACGTTAAGGCTTGCTGGCTTTATTTCCTCTCCAACCTGGGGTGCATGTGTTTACCTGGAGCACCGTGCAGTTGCATTTACCTGTGTATAACTGTGTTATCTGTGAATTACCCAGCTTCTCAGTCGCTCCTGGAAAATTGACCGCCAGCTGGGGCATATCTCCACCCTCTTTCTCTGTAAAGACAGAGGCAAAGTAATTCGATTTCTTTTCTCCCCTCTGAAGTAAGCTCTGTAGTTTAAGTTCCCCCGGTTCTCCTGTCCTCAATGTATTATGCTCGTATTTAAATGTGTATTTCTTTACATGTCTAATTAAAATTCTCTGCAGTTTGTCTCTTTAATTTGACTTATTCTTCCCTGTTAAACTTGTCCGGTGTTTGATACTATTTTAATATTCAAACATCCGTGTTAACCTTCCCACTGAATTTTACCACATTTGTTTCTTAAGTCTTTGCTTTTCCTGTCTTGTTTAAGGGTGTGATTTTAACTTAAAGGAAAAGTCTACAGTCTACAAGTGGTAAAGTGTTTCAAATGTAGGCTATAAAGATGTAGGCTATCCAGATGTAAATGGATGCTGAATTTGTAATTCAGACCATAGGTAATTAAAACCCTTAAATGATACTGACTTTGAGCCATCAACATGAAATGCAGGAGCAACTTATTAGAATTATTTGCATTATTCCTTAAAAATATTGGAAGGTGTTTATATGTAAACTTATTTCATTTATTGCAAGTTTTGTATCTGCGTAGAACTAGCATGAAGTAAACCAGCCTTCAATTATTTGTAGACTTCACCCCAGAAAAGCCGCTTTTTGGGGAATAACGAAGCTGTGCATTTCGAATTGTAGAATAACACGGCCCCCGGAGCGATGACGCGGCGCAACACCTACGTCTGCAGTGAGAGAACCACAGCCGATAGGCATTCGGTGATACAGAACGGCAAGGAGAACAGGTACATGGCATCTCATCCTATGCTCTGTGTCCCTTGTCTTCACATCCCCCAGAATTGTTAAAAATCAGTCATGTTTCAGTGTCGTTCGTGAGGAAAGGTGAGTACGCATCTGTGGTTGTGCAGCACCTGTAAGTATGTTGGGGTTTTTCACTGTGCTTCATTTTTATGGTCTGTGTGCTCAGAATGTAGAAGAAAAAGCCAAATTTCTGGTTGAATAACTTGTCATGTTTGTACAGCCTTCGTCTTCTATCACTTGTTAACTCCTGTGGCCAAACACGTGTGCTTGCAGAAGAGGTTTGTTCAGTGTCAGGCTACAGATCCATCTCCCTCGGGCTGTTCTCTTCTTACATTTCACTCTAAACTCCACGTTGTTGGGATTATTCGGAATATTGGGGTTTTTTTGGTATTAATTGGAATATTGGGGTTTTTTCGGCAAAGTCTCAGGGAGAAATTAATTATTTTCTAAGCAGAGATGAAGCACTGATAGACCTTTGTCACAGACTAACAAGGTTCCTGACTGATGGCCTTGTAGTGCAACTGCTTCCCAGTATTTACAGAACCCCTCTTGAGAAGAGAAGCACTGATATCTCCCTATTTGGAGTGAAAACAGTCAGAAATACCAGGTTTTCTCTTACAAAATATAAAATGCTGAGTGCTCTCTTACTTTACTGAGTATAAAATACACTGACCGTGCAGTGGAATTGGCATTAACCTGTCCACGTGTTGGCACCGTGGCCACATCTCATCCCAAAGACTGAGGAGAGCTGAGGAAAATAAATACAATAGCGAGCATAGGCATTATGTGTAGATTAACACGCGTAAAGAAAACCACCACGTTTCCTGGCTGGCCAACCAACTGGTTTTAATGGGATTTTACTGATCTCAGAAGCTGATAGGAATGAAGTAGGTGATGGTTGCCAGGAGAGCGCCCAGATAGCCAATACTTAATAAAAATGCTTAATAAAGTACTTAATAAAATACAGTAGTTAATAAAATACTTAATAAAATACAGTACTTAATAAAAATGCTTTAGCTTGGAGGGGTGTGTACCTCTCTCCTACTCTTCCCAATTTTCTCTTCCTCTTCTAATTTTATGCTGTATTGTAAAGGATGGGAAGAAAATACTTCTCTTCTAGAGCATGTTGAATAAGCCACCATTAATTTGCACAGAATTTTCCCCTCCCTTTTGGCAGCTCGTAAGAAAGAGTGGCAAAATAGCAAAGTTAACACAAAATCTGCCCCTTGTTTGATTCCTGGAGCATTTAGGGCTAAAGAACATGGTTTTGGGTGCTGTTGCTTTGTGTGTGTGTGTGTCTCGGCCTTCACTTGTTCATGTCACCCAGTTTGTTGAGATGAAAGCTCACCATTCTTCCTTTGATTTGATGTTAATGCCTTTTTTTTTCTTTCCAAACTGGCTTTGAGTAACAAATCTTTCTATCCGAAATAGCTTTGATTGGATTTAATCACCTGATTTCTTGGTTTAACAACGTTGTGTTCACCTCTAATATCTTTGCAATATCTTGTCTAGAGTTTATTACAATTTTTAAAGTTATTAGATATTTTTTACTTGAAATTGAGATGTTCCTTTAATTTAGGAGTAACTTTGTGCTCATAAGGAGCTGTCTTTTGAAGTTATTACATAGATTTTTCTCAGTTTTTTGTTTCTCAGCAAACAACTCTTTCAGGTTTGTCACGGATGGGCATTAAGCTCAAATTTACCATTGAGTGGTACTTGGCAAGTGTATTAACTCTATTTTATATCTGTAATTGGTTATCTTATGTCATTTACAGGTTATTGTCAATATGGTATCCAAACATCACTTACCCTGCGAACTTTGTCTTTTCACTGTCAGGAAAAGGAAAATAGAATGGCTTTTATTGTGTGGTTTTGGTCATTACTTTTTATTGTTACTCTTTATAGAGAGTTAAAACAAGAAAAGATGCAGCACAGAATTTATATCTGAATATATGTTGTTGCTGTAACAGGGCAAAGGCTCGACTGCTCATGAAACACAGGGCCCTTTCATACAGGGTAAATAGAGATGGTGATTGATGAGACTGGCTCCTCAGAGCGCGTTCTGCCTGCCTTAGGTGTTGCTGTAGTATCTCTGATATTGCTGTGCTCTCAACTTCAGAAACTTGCCTCGTAGAAGGAAAATCATTACAAGATGTGAAGTAGAACCTAAGCTTTGTATCAATCCAAGCTTTTGTTAAAAATGCTTTTGGAATTTTTATTGGTGGCAAGCATTACAGGCAGGAGGAATTCCCATACATGATTGATGGATTGCTAACTGGATTTTAGATTTTTTTCCATAGCCAGTCAGACCAGCTCAGTGAAACCTTGGGATGCTCACCTTGAACAACTGTAGCATTTGTAAGGCAAATGGTTTGCAGCAGCCTCGGATTTTTAATGAGCCTTGGCACTAATTGGTGAACGTCAGCTCGCTGTTGTGTGCTCCCAGGCTGGCCATCCAGGAAAGCTGCTTTCTAGCAAAACTCGGAGGAAAAAATAGCAGTGCCTTGATATGGTACTTGATACTCATTGATACTTGTAGCTGTCACATCTTTGGAGGCAGATGACTAAAGAAAACTTGGGTCTAATGTATTTTAAAACTAGATTATTTGTCCTTTATCCTCTGTAACAAATTGAGAGGGAAGGACCTAGAAGTGACCAATTATTTGGGGATTACTTGACCTTGGGGTACTGCTTTTGATATTAATGCCCATTTCCCTGCAGTGTCTCGGTACCCTGGGGTAAGGCAGGCTTGGTTGCAGTAGTGGTTGTAGTTGGCATCCTGCTGGATTCAGTCTGTGTAGCCGTGGAGTAACTTAGAAGTGAATGTGCAGTGTCGTGAAGCTGTCACTGACAGTTACTGATCTCTTAACCTCTGTATTTCTGAATTAAAATTGCCTTCCTTCTACAGCAGAGTTAAGATGAGTGACACATGGTGTAGTAGCCTGAAAGGCCCAATATGTCTTGAGGCCTCTCTGTTTTCTCCCATCCTTATCATAACTAGATAACGTGAAGGCTACAAAGAGTATTTTGGCCCAAAGGAGAAATATTTCTATTTTAACGTGTTACACAGCTGGCTGTTCTGCTGAGACGACACTGTAGACCTTCCTTCAAAGCCTGAATGGTGATTTACTGGGGAATTTAAGGTTGGGGGCCAGGCAATAAGAGATGTTCTTTAACGGTCATAACCTCTTCCTCCAGAGAACACCAGGAGTTACTCATTGCCTGCTACATGTACAGCTTGATTAATGGCATTTGGACCTCTGGCCTTGTCAAACACCATGGCTGTGCTGGTTTTGATTGTGCCTGCGAAGTCCCTTGGTTCCCAGGTGTAGATTTGAAAGCTTTGCCTAACCCACATTGATTTGTCTTCATTCCAAACCTAAAGTGTTTCACTGCAGCAACGGAGCTATCGTCAGTCTCTTGCCAAGTGCAGCTGGTGGGGTTTTTAATGCATTTTGCTAATGTTAAGTCAAACACGGGTTACATCAGTGCTTTATACCGGTGCTTTGGCACAGAACATAGAGTCACTCAGGTTGTGTACGTCAAGGAGGGCACCACCACGAACTAACACTGCTGGTAAGAGATGTCGTAAGGATGCTCTTTACGGGGAGCGCAGCGCAGTTACTGCTGTTTACTGAGCGGGCTGTTTGAGTCGGTGTTCTTTGATAAACCAGTTAACAGAAGGAAAAGTGTGCTTTTTTTCTATGCAGTAGTGTGTTGTTGGTCCATCACGCTCTTCTTTCTGCCTCTGCCTGAACCCAAACCCCCTCGCAGCCTGACAGCAATGTTCGCTGACGCAGCTAGCCCTGCTTCAGTTTGCACTCCATCCTTCTCCAGTGTTCGGCTGCGGCATCAGAAGTCGATGTCCGTGTCGGCCTCTGTGCACACGAAGATGATGTTGCCTCCAATAGACAATGGCGCAGATAACTTCAGGCCCATGTAAGAACCCCCGAATCCTTGTGACACTAACTGATACCCACCGCTTCTTAACTTTGTGCTGTGGAGTTGTAGTCCTAGCTCGTTTCTAGTATCTATTGCCCACAAGGTGTGTCTTTCCTCATTTATTTCAGTCTCGTTCACATTTGTCTCGTGGTGTGCCAGGCTGTCTGGGACATAATCCTGCAATGATGAACCTGCTCTTAGGAGGATTGGACATGCCCTATTGCCAAAGTTTGGGGGAGACTGACACTGTGTATCCTGAAGGACTTCACTACTTGGTTTGCTCGTAGAGAGTTTTGTGGAGGATACTTTCAAATGAGGACGATTTTCAAAGCTGTATATATTAAAAAGTAGAGGGAGAGACTACCTATTGCTTCTCTTTCCTGGGAGGAAACTTTACTCGTCTACTCTTTTATCAGTCTTCTCAGTGAAACCCCGTACACTTAGTTGATCCGGTCTGTTCCAGGATACTCCTGTTGCATTTTTCTGCCTCTGTAGGTTTCTGTTTCGGCAGCCTCTTAATCCTAACTTCTTACCAGTTTTGATTCCATACAGTGCTGTAATAATGTTGATATTTCCAACCCCGGCCTCTCTAAAAGTGTCTGCTTCTGCTTTATGGTAGAACGTAGTGTTTTGTGTTTCCTGCAGCTCCCTAGCACCTCCGTAAAGACCTTCCAGCGTTGTTTCTCTGTGTTTGTTTCCCGCTCCAGCACCATTCCCGATCAGAGAACTCCTGTTGCTTCAACCCACAGCATTAGCAGTGCGACCACTCCTGACCGTATTCGTTTCCCCAGAGGAACGGCCAGCCGCAGCACCTTCCACGGGCAGCTCCGCGAGCGCCGCACCGCCACCTACAACGGCCCCCCCGCCTCGCCCAGCCTCTCCCACGAGGCGACGCCGCTCTCGCAGACCCGGACCCGCGGCTCCACCAACCTGTTCAGTAAACTCACCTCCAAACTCACCAGAAGGTAAGCCTCAAAAGGTGGCAGTGTGACACTGCCTTTTTACGGGGTGGGAGAAGTACCGAGGAGTTCGTTTGTCCACGTTTTCTGTTTGCTTAGTGATTTCTGCCACTTAAAATGCACCAGCTTATGGGTTTTTCGTAGTTCTTTTTGGTGACAGAAGCCATTTGGTTTTAGCAGTTGGGATAAAAGGGAGGCAGTTTGGGCTGTGCACTTCTCCTGTGCTCCACATCCTCACGTCTGAGATTGCAGCTCAGTTCAGAAGCTGCTCGCTCCCACTGCATGGTCCATCAGTGGATACTTGTACATAATCCATCCCAGGCTGGATGTTTAACATTAGGAGCTCAGGTTGGGTTTCCCAGTCACTTCAGTATCAGAAATATAAGAAATATTACAGGTGAAGGGTAGGGGAGGAGACAAAAGCTCCTTTGGGCAGTAGTGCTAGCGTGGGTCGTCTTAAAATAACGGCAGTCCTGTGGTTTCAGTCTGGGGAAAAACTTCTCCTTTTTAACCTTTATTTCACACGCAGACTGGTTCTGGTGTAGCCAAAGCCCAGCTTAAGCAGCTGTTGTTCCTGCACCAACCATTTTTATTCCAATTGGACTCCTAACTTCAAATCCATGAATTATTTCAATCAGTTCCTACAAACCCTAGCGTTGAAAACAACCTCTTTTCCTTCTGCACTCCAAACCTGCCTGTTCACATACCGCATGCTTCAGGCCACTCGTGTCCTCAACGTGTGTTTGCAGAGTTGGGGGTTTATTTATCTTTGCCTTCAGATAATCCCCATGCTTTTGCACCCTCCTCAGCATGTGAGATTTACTGGAATATATTATTCTTATTGTGGCCTGCTTGCTTTTGTTGTAGGCATATATATAAATATATGTACATATGTATAAATATATATATATACACACATACGTATAGATACAGATAGATATAGATATATAAAGTTATATGTTAAAGTATACATAAAATATAAATAGATATTATATAAAATATATACA